TCTCATCAATTAAAATACAATTAATTATTTATATTGTACATATATATGCATATGTGTGTGCTATTTCCTCACTTTCTCACTTTTAAAACACATCTAACATTTACGATGAGTATTTTCAGTCATTATGTACTCGTATTAATATTCTAATATAATAATATGCACTAGTTCATTAACCGTGACTAAACACATACATTTATATATATCTATATGTATATGTAAATGTATCTAAAATATTATAAACATGAATGAGGGTTAGGGCATTTTAGGGAGAATAAATGTGTTGGTGTAATCATCTAACTTTATTGGATTGTACAATATGTTTTATCATGTGTATTCTTTGAAAAAAATTACTCTTGCCGTTTTATTTCCGTCATAACTGTCCACAACTTCCGTCTATTGATCTTGCCGTTGTATTTATCAATTATCATGTATGCACCGAACTGTTTTCTCTCCATCTTTGGTATTCCATTTAACTTTTCCAAAATCTTTTTGAATTTTAGATTCTCACATTAAAAATTAAAAGAAAAGTATGATTTTCCAAGACCATGTGTTACACAGATAACAAAATCCAATCGTTTTGTGTGGCTTGGTCCAAATAATGAATAAGTATTCTAATTCAAGGTAGAACACTCTAGCCCGCTGCAGTATCTATGTAAAAACTTTATAGAAGACCAGGTCGAATGGTCATATATCTTTCAGAGAACTATTACGTTTTGTTCTGGAAACAATTTTTATTCTCACCATCTTTTAAAACCTTGTCAAGTTTGACTGACATAAAAATTAATAAAGTATAAATTGTGTGATAGATGTTGTGTAGATGGGGGAAAATTAACAAGAATCATAATTTTTTACTTAAAATAGAAAATGATAAAGTTAGTGGGACAACATTTTTTTTTACAAAGAGCGTGTTTGGTAGCACGAAATTAGCTTATTTGGCTAATTGTGCTGAAATTTACGAAGTTCTGCCTGGAGTAGTTAAATATCCAGAGCATTGGCTGATTCTGCACATTTAAAAAAAATTAAAATATATTTTATTAATGAAATAAAGAAAAAATTATATGTAAAATAGCTAAATTGGTCATTTATAGTAGCTTCATCCAATATAGCCAGAAAAGGAACTTCAAGCTTACTTTTTCTTCTTATTACACAATTCAGCACGCGAAAACAAAGTTTACGTGTTTCGTGAAAAACAGTCTTGCCAAATAGCCTCAAACTTTTAGGAATGGAGAAAGTATTTTACAGACTTCTATTGCATATAGTTACCTTTTTTTTATCTTGAAGATGATCTTGAAAATATTAATTCCGTTATGTAATTGTATATTTCAAAGAATCACATTCTTTAGAAGATACTTTTATATCCTTACCTTGAATTTAATATTTCTTTACAAAACCCTTTATTCACCACTCTTGCCGCCACGGTGACTATAAAAATAATAACTAAATATTTGTATCACACACATAAATTGGGCACAAATCTAATCGCGCAAAGCGCGTGAAAGTAACTAGTATGTATATGTATGTGTATGTGTTTGTTATATACTACCTATAATTTAATTAAATATGTTGATATATGTGTGTGTATTATATATTTTGAGTTTATATTTATAACGGGGACGGGGCGGGTGTAGCACCCCCATCCCCGCCCCATATTTTAGCGGGGGATAAATATCTCACCCATCCCCGCCCCGCCCCAAACCCCACCCCATCCTCCCCCAACGGGGCAGTTACCCACGGGCCCCTGCCCCATTGCCATCCTTACACTCTAGTGACTAGTCATATTTTTGTCCCGGAAAATTATATTAGTAATATACGTGTCATTTTTTCTATATACAAACGAGTAAATGACACATATAAATGGCATTTTCATTCTAAAACTACCGCCATCCAGAAAAGTTCATCATATTGACTTTTCTTGATCAATAGTGATAAACGTTGGGTAATTATTTTAAGTATTATATTTGTATATATTTTTTTTTAAAAAATTATACTTTTATGAAACATATTTTTAATAAGGAACACTTTAATTAATATAATATTAATATTCAAAATAGTTTCATATTAAAAAATATAAGTGGGCAAAATTGGCTACCATTGACCAAGAAAAGTTAAATTGATGAACCATTTTGGGATGGAGGGTCGGAGTATGATTTATTAGGTGTGAAATAAGAATATTAAAAACTCTTTGGTTGAAAATTGTGCAGAGGATGGAGAAATGTGTATAACCACAAATTAATTGCTTTAATAGGAAAGTGGCAAACTTTTTTGGAACAACCAAAAAGGGAAAGTTGACAAAATTCAATGGGACGGAGGGAGCATATCAATTTTTTATCAAATTTGAGTGAGCCCAAGGATCCATTTGCTTTATCGTCGATCAAGTTTCGTAATCCGCAATGAGACAATAATAGGGGGCGAATGTAGTAATATTTTAAGAGAGATCTAGTTTCAAGTTAGAGATCTATGGTGCGCTGCGCCACTATGGATCTTCATGTGCGACTATTGGTGGCAGGATGCCTTCTCTCCTCCAGTCAGCAAGGCACAACGTAGGAGCGGCGATCTAACACGATAGCATCATCCTGAAGAAGCCTCACGAGCTGATCGCGAGCTACGAGTGGTTGGCCATATGTGCGGACAAGGTATGCATCATTTTGCTGGAGGAGTGTGAAAACGATGAAGGGGTGTGTCGAATGGTCGTTAGATGGTACTTTTATCATTGAAAAGATGGTGAAATTCATGCTCTTCAGGGACGTCATGCCTTCTATTTGGAAACCTAGATGTATTTGTTCTTTTTTTCTATCATGAAACTTATATGAGACATGTTATTGAATATGATCCATTTTATATTATCAGAACCTTGTAATCTTGCATGGATTAAAAGTAGACGACTTACCTTTGAAAGCTCCTCTATACTTTTAAGAATTCCGGATTCAAGTGTATAATCTGTCAGTCTTAACCCTATACGTGGCAAAAACCATTGGTAACTCTATAGGCGGGTTTGTCAAGCTAGACAAAAATCAGTTTGAGGAGCTCTTGAGGGCTTACTTGAGATATAAGGAGACTTTTGAAGAAGAATATGAACGTTAAGAAAGCAAAAGGGGACCCATTATGGGTATATATTATAGGTATGAAAAACTCCCCCTTTTTTTTGCTTTGTGTGTGACGTCATTGGTAATGCGGATAGATTTTGCCCTAAAGTGTTAGGCCAATCAAACTCAAAGCAAATCAATTCAAGGAGTTTGAACCATGGATGAGAGCAAACAAAACACGGAATGGTGAGAGGGTGGGGGATAACAAGTGGGTGGTATTGGTGAAAGGAAATAAGCAGCGGATAATAAAGATGGCTAGTATGGAAGGATCCCCATACTAGTAATGCGGGTTGATTACAAGAGATTAGGGGTTTTCATTTTGGTTGAGAACCCCTCTAAATGAGAACTCTTAAAATGAGAACTTTAAATCTCTACATTTCATTTATTGCAAATTTGCAATCATTGATTATGATTCATGTGGTCACATTCATAATTTCCCTAAATTCAAATGGATCTTTTTTGCAATTAATCCTGAATAATTACAAAAATATGTCACCTTGTCGCTATTAGGCATTGATTGTGAAGATGAATAATGAAGATTATAATTTCTCATTTTAAAAAGGATTCTCATTCTAAGAGGGAACCTTGACTTAAGGGGCGTTGACTAACACCCAAAAATTCCTCGAAGATTAAATTAAGCTTCACTACATTCAACTAGGCTATCGTATTTATTATCCAAATAATCCGCACATTAGTCATTATTAATTTATCTAAATTCTTCCGATTTTTATTTTTTATTTTTTTAGTTTGACTTAAGGGACGTTGACTATTACAGCGATATTTAGTTTTTATTGTAAACTCAAAGAGTGGAATTGTTCATCCCAACTTGATAGAAATGCTTTTTTCAAATTTCATATAGTTTCTTAAACAGATTTTGAATAAGGCAATCTAGAGTGTGGTGCGTGCAAGGGGCCAACATATCGTGGGAAACTCACGTAGTGCTAACTGCTGAGAATTTAACCAAATGTTCTCACTCAAAGTACACGATGATCCAACTATGCAAATGTTTAAAAATTTCATAATAGCAATTTTCAATAAAATAAAATTTTGATGCAGTACAATTTTAAAAATATCGTTAAGTTTCTCTCATTTTAAACTTTTAAAATAATAATTTTTTACTAAAAGAAAATAAAAGGGAATTGAAGAAGTATATTTTTCTATTAACAAATGTAACTTTTAAAATAATAATTTTTTACTAAAAGAAAATAAAAGGGAATTGAAGAAGTATATTTTTCTATTAACAAATGTGAAAGTCAAACAGTTACAATTAAAAAAACATATGTATCATATAATACACCAAACATGTCACAATAGTACCATATACAAAGACATACTTCATCTATCCTCTTGTTATTATTTGAGTTCTTATTAACTTGATCAACACAAATCACTCTTAATTTCTTACTTTAATTATGTATCAAATTTTTATCAACTTTGATTCTGGTTTTTACGACTCTGTAAAGCTTTTAATGTAGTTTTTGAATATGTAATTTCATTTTTCCAAAAAAAATTGAATGCAGACGAAGATCCGGATACTTTATCGTCGATCAAACATCGTAAACCGCAACGGGACAATAATAGAAGGTCGTAGGTAGTATTAATCAATATACTAAAAGCCCATTTGGTAGCACGAAAATCGGCTGGTTTGGCTGATTTGGCTGATTTTGATGAAATTTATAAAGTTCTGACTGAAGTGGCTACATTGGCTGATTCTGCTGATTTAAGAAAAAAAGATTTAAAATATATTTTATTAATAAAATTAAAAAAATATATATGTAAAAATAGTTAAAATTGTCATCTACGATAACTGCAGCCATTACAGCCAGAAAAATAACTCTAACCCTACATTTTCAGCTTATTACCCAATTCAGCGCGCAAAAACAAAAGTTATGTTGGTGAAAAAATTGGTTGATAAGCCGAAAAACATTGTTGCCAAACGACCTCTAAAAAATAAAGATATTTTGTAATTTCAAAAATATATAGCAACACAAATTGATCAAAACAATTTTCATAATATAAAACAATGCCCCTACCATGTAAGCAAAAACAATTTCAAACATTTGAATTATAAATTAAAACAATACAATCTGATTTGAAAATTCAAACAGGTGGACGGAGAGACTTCAAATTTTCAAGCATTTCAGAACCTCATTGACTTGCTGAATGCCTTCCAGCCGGTGGGGTCCTTCGGATCGGCCGGCGACAACCCACCGTCGCCATCGTCATCGTCATTCACGGCAACCTTCTTCTTATTACCCATAATGGGTCTCATCAGCTTCTTAATCGCCTTCCGCAGACCCAAACAAATGCGGCGGCGGCGCTTCCCCTTCTCCAGAACCAGCGGCGGCGCCAGTCTGGGCCGGTAAGGCTGATCGGAAGCACTCCTGCCCAGAATGGCCCGGTTCAGCTGGACTTCGAAGGTCAACCTCTCGTACTGGTCAAGCAGAGTGCTCTGTTCATCGTCTCCAAATCTCTTCAGGACTCTGGCCATTTCACTTCCGTCCATTACTGAATCTGCGGCATAATTAATTCACTTCTACTTGACTACTTATAAGCTGAGGCTAATCATTGAAAGGGGGTTTGGATTTCTGTATTCTGGCTTGAAGAGCACAATTTGGGAAGAGAGTTTTCAGATCAGAGGAGCAAGTGTAAAGGGCAGGGGTGAAGAGCACAAGCCAGAATCAGAATTTAATTTGGAGAACTGTAAAGGCTGCATGGAAATGGAATGAAACCTTCCTGCAAATATATTTGGCGAAGCAATCGGCACTTCGTTAGTTCGATTTTGTTAGTTGAATTGAGTGAGTGGGTCATTACTATGGAAACAGATCAGTAATTAAATGCATCCCCGCGAGTCCACGACCACACTAATCAGAAATTTTAAATTCAAAAAATGCTTGACACCTTGATTTACATTTTGGAAAGTTAATACTTCGTATGAACCATCCTTCCTTACACATATTTTGTACACATTTTACATTCGCCTCCTAATTGTTTATCTACAAAGCAGTTTCCGAATGAATTATCTAGGTAAATAGACAATTAGGGACAGTACACAATATTAGTACAAAACATGTGTATCATTTGTGAGCTAATATACACCTCGGTCTCTCCCTCGCTCCTCCCTTCTTCTCTCCTTTCCAAGAGGGGATCTGGTTTAGCGTCAGGAGTATAATATTGCACTAGTTATGTTATACTCCCTCCGTGTCGAAAAGGTTTGTCAAAGTTGACTTTCACGTGGATTAATAAAGTAAAATCTGTATGGTTGAAATTTGTGTAGAGGAGAGAGAATTAATTTTAGCCACATATTCCTTATTTTAAGGGAGTGTTTGCAACTGTTTCTGCTTAAAAAAGCACTTTTGGAGATGTAAGGAAAAAGTGATTAGTAGGAAAAGTTGATAGTGTTTGAGAAAAAAGTGATTTTGAAAAGTAAAAGTTGATAGTGTTTGGTAAAATAAGTGCTTTTTGTGTAATAGAAAGGGGAAAAGCACTTTTCACACGCAAGCCGAGAAAAAGTAAAAATTGGTAGTGTTTGGTAGATAAGTGCTTTTTTAAGCCAAAAACTGAGAAGTGCTTTTTTTAAAGTGATTGCAAACACTCCCTAAAACAATGTTTGGCATGGAAAAGCTGATGCCTGCTGACTTCTAACTTATCTATTACTACGTATTTAAAGTCATTAAAAGACCCTACTTCTGTGTTTGGCCCGTTAAGTTTTTTGAGAAGCCCAGGTCTTTTATCATCTTTTACCAGACGCTTCCCAAGGTAGCGTTGATTAAAAAGATCTTTTCCTAAAAAAGCAAATCTTTTTGGGATACCCAAAAAAGGAAATTTGGTAAACATTTTCCGGAGGGAGTAATAACAAGTTAACAACTAAGACGGAATTGTTAGCACAAGTCATGTTGGCCCATGGAAATAGTATGATCGTGCAGCGCAGCAAAAGGATCCGAGTTTGAACCCCATGGACCTAGTGTTTATAATTTCCAGTGCAACATTAGTAATTTTTTTAACACGCTATCCAATTTGTTTAACACTAGTGTTTAATGTTTTAAAATTTTCCATTTTTCTATCTAAAATTTCTTTGTCCCACAGGGAAGAAGAGAAGAATTATTCCTTCAAATGGACCACTATCATTTTTTTTACATTGGGCTTTTGAATGTTAGTATGCAAAATTAATTAGTTCAAATCATTGGAATTTTGAATATTAGTCTGAAAAATTCATTAGGTCAATTAGTTGGGCTTTTGGATATTGGCCTGATAAAATAATTAGTTCAATTCATTGGCCTTTTGAATATTGGCTTCAAAAAATAATTAGTTCAATTCATTGGACTTTTGAATATTAATTTGAAAAATTATTTAGTTCAATTCATTGGACTTTTGAATATTGGTTTAAAAAATTAATAAGCTCAATTCATTGTGTTTGATGGGTGAAATTTGGTTTTGGAGAAATTGACTTGAAAATTAGTACTAAATATTTCAGTGAGCGAGCCAATTTCGATTCGATATCTATGACTATTAAGATAATTAAATTGTCGGTTCTGTAATATTTTTTTTTCTTTGACATTCATGTAATATTATTTATCTATGTTTTGCCATTTTGACATTTTTTGCAATACAACTTATTCAATTAAATTTTGGCTTCACTTGAATGCAAATGCTAGATCCGCCTCTGCTCCTTTCCGTCTAGACATTTCTCTTCCCCCTTCCTCTTTCTTCATTTTCCAGCTTTATCACATCATCTTCATCATCTCCATATCCACCACGCATTTCATCCCCATCATTTCCATCTTATTCATCTTCTTTCTTCATTAGTTTTCATCTTCAACGTGTCATGTTGTATCATCGTTGATCTAACTTACTTCATTAAATTATTATCGAAGTTGTAGTCACCGGAATGGTTAGCAGACATTTATTGGAAAAAACATTTTTAGCTACTTTTTTCAACAAAAAAATTGTGTTTTATTAATAAAAATATACGTTAGATATAACTTCTTTTCAGCAGAGCCAATTTAAATGTATGAATTAATGCTCTAAAATGCATGAGCCATGGTAAGTCGTTGAGACCAAGCCTCAAGGTTTTGAAGTATAGGTGGGAATAAGCGGAGCTTAACGTGAAAAGATGTTTTAAAGTTCTATTGATAACTACTCCAAATTATAGTTACGAAGTATATATAAAGAAAATAAATAGATGTCCAAGATTTATTATACAACATTGAGCCTATTTTTTACGTTGTTCAATATATGTAATTTGTAAATGTAAAAAAGTGTAGATATAAAATGATATATTGTTGTTTTTTACTAATCCATATTTCGATTCCATATATAACATGTTTATAAATAGTACTCATTTCGTCCCTCTCATATTGTCCCGCTTTCCGTTTTCGGAAAATCCTACTAAGATTTTTAGTGGCTCAAAATCATTTTTTATTTTATTCTTACTTTATCAATTCAATATCAATCACATAAACTCATTTTTCTTAATAATCGTGTCACCTCTTCATATCCCAATGTTAGTGGAACAGATGCAATATTTTTTAAAATTTAATCTTTTTTCTTGGAAAAAAATAATTCATCCAAATAACATACACCTTTCACGCCTAGGCTTACACTTTTTCATACATTTTGGTAGTAAACTCTTCAGTTAACCGCCTTTTCCACTTCTTTTAACTATATGTGAGACATTTTTTTGCCTCCTCATGCCGTCTTTTAAAACATTGGCCTCAATCACAATTTCAGTGTTATCAAATGAGTTCCTATAATATACTACCTACGTTATCCAATTAAATCCTCTCTTTCTCTTTGACCGTTAGCTGTTCAAAATTTACAGTACTTTATCACACAAAGATTAATTTTGCATACTTCATTTCAATATATATGAATCCAATGTTAATTCATTACAGGTTTTATAAGTATGGTTTTTTAAGATATTTAGACTCAAACTTCCACCTAAAAACCTTAAAAATCAAGTTGGGATTGGGAACTTAATTGTGGAAACAGGGAGTAGTTATTATGACACTTTATTTGTTTCATAAATTTCTACTTAATTTCTTCGTTTCAGGATAATTTGGAATTTTCTTTTAACTCCCTCGTTTTTTCTACACAACAGGATACCATTGTGATCCCATGCACTCACGGGCGGAGTTAGGGGAGGGCCAACCTTGGCCTTGGTCCACGCTGAATTTAAAAAATGTCTTAATATTTTATGTAAAAAATTATGTGTAATTCTTTTTCAATATACTTTGTACCGGTCCAGTATGGTCTAGTGCCCTGACTCCACCCCCGCATGCAGTGCTCCTCCAAGATGAACTATCTTGTGATCTCCATAAGTGCTTTTTGTCTCGCTGCTATAAAGAAAACTGCATGACCAACGATAAAGGAAACTAGCCGGCTAGCCGCAACTACAAACACAGAAGAATGAAACGCCAACCCTAGCGAATAAATGAATTAAAAACAATGTGTACTACATCCCTCTTAAATTGATTTGCAACTTAGAATGTCTATTTTTAATTAAGTTGACCTATTCATATAATTAGAATGTCTATTTTTAATTATATTTTAATTTGGAGTTTGTAATTTTGAAGAGATTTTAATGTAGTTTCTGAATATGTAAATTTTAATTATTAAAGATTGAATTAATTAGTAATATGGAGGATTTAACTTTAACAATCATTGACTTTGCAAATCAATTTAGGACGGAGAGAGTACAGAATAAAAAACCAACATATTAAAATATATTAGGAGATATGTAGATGTTACAAATAAAAGTTGCAAGATAAAGGGGGTGTTTGAATCTATCTTACTGTTTCTTTTCCTTCAACGAACAGAAGCAAATATTGGAATGTTTGAGTAAAAGTGTAGAAGTACTTTAAGATACTCTAAGTTATTTTTAAAAACAATCATTTAGAAGTTGGGGACCGCTTTTTGAAAATCTAATTATTTTTTGGGGGAATTGGACTTTGCATAATATATTTTCAAAAAACTTTGACTTTACATGTTGTTCCACTTAAAAATTTTTTGATTTTGCATTCCATTTACAAATATTTTTCACAAAATGAAAGTTTGCTTGTGATTGTGTTCTTCACAAAGAAAGCAGAATTAACTCTAAACCCTCCAATTCCTCCAAATATGATACCACTTCCACCGCCGTTGGATCTCGAGTAAAAAACCAATCAGAACGAACTGCAGTTCAACTTCATTGACCGTTGTTAGACTTCGCCCATTAACCACACTTCTCGTCCCGCTTTCCGCACTTCTCTCCTCATTCTTCAACGATGAGCATTACGATGGAGCATTTCGCCATCGGGAACCCTAACTCCCGCTTGAATCGGTGCTTGAGGCAAGCATTTAGCGCTCGCCTTTATACACCGGCGACGCTAGGGTTGGAATCCGGTCGCCTTCGATTTGCACATTCCAGAAGCTGCAGGGTCTTAGGTCTGGGTCAGTCTATTTACCCTAAAGGCCCTGGTGTAGCCCCGTTGCGCAAAAGGAGTCTCTGCAAGAGATCAAATTTCTTATTTGCCGCTGCTCATGAAGAACCGGTAAAAACATGTTTTTTTATATATTTGTTTGTAACATTTTATCGTCCATGTTCATAAGCACTTCTTTTTAAATGTTCCAATTGCCTAATTTGTGTTGGGAAGCAAACTAAGAAATGGAATAACTTTATTTCAACTTTAAATGTTGAATGTATAGTATAGTTTCCATAATCCATATACTCCCTTTCCCAATTAATGCTAAAAACCCTTTCCCATTTTTTCTCAAAACAGTTTCAACTCCTGATAATCTGAAAGTCCTGCCTTTTTTGTTGGGCCAGACAATGGGTAATGAAAAAGAAAAAAAAACAGTATTACCTGCAATAGAGGATGGGGTGAAAAGTTCATATTTGAAAGAAACAATATATGTCATTTTGATTATCAAAAGATGTCATTTTTAGAATCAAAATTTCCTTATTATTTACTCAACATTCACTTCTTGCATTAACATTCCAAATTATTTTCTGCATTTCAGATTTCAGACATCAAAGGGGAGTATGAGAATGATGATCATGGAAAGGCTGATGATGAATTACAAGAAGCATGGAGACGTGCTCTTGATTTGTTCAATGAACAAGCCATAAAGATGAAAAGCATTTCAAAAGAAGCATATGATGTGTATTCTACTAAAGCCACTGTTATTCTGGAAGAGACTTCTGAGAAATTGAAGATTCAAGCTGAGAAGGCAAGGCATGATTTAAGTGTGACCGCAAAGGAAATCAGTGAGGGGAGTAAAGAATATTTAGCCATTGCTGCTGAAAACTCTCCCGAACCAGTAAAGGACATTATGGAAACATTTGCTTCCTCAACTGATGATTTGAAGGACATATCCAATGTGCTAGACTTTTACCTTGGAATTCCATACGGTATGCACATGAGTGATTAATTGCCTTGAGAATTCATTTTCTAGAAAACTGGCCCTTATATATTCTCCTTATAATGGATAAATGTCCCATTCGATGGAGTAATACTCCAAAGTGAATGATTTTTCGTATTACTCGTGATTTTCAGGCGCTCTTCTCTCTGTTGGTGGCTTTATGTTATTCATGCTAACTGGTAGTATCCCTGCCATTAGGTTTGGACTTATTCTTGGTGGGACCCTTTTGGCTTTTAGCATCTCTAGTCTAAGATCATGGAGGAAAGGAGAGTCAACTTCTCTAGCCTTAAAAGGGCAGACAGGTATGGGCGTAACCGCATAATTGTGAACATGTGAAATTATTAAGGAATGATTTTCCCTTTGTTGATAGATATGTATTGATGTGGGTCAAATGAAGTGTCAATCTTAGTTCTTGTCTTTTTTATTCACAAAGTTATTGATGGATCTTAAGCTAGGTATAGAATTACATTACTCTGACTACAAGGAGTTAGGATGTGGCTGGTATACTAAAGGGAATGAGAATGAGTACAAAAGAAAGAGGGAATGAGTTTCATATATCCCATTTGGGAGTGTCTCAACTCTCAAGCACAAAAGTCGGAAACTTAACCTAAGGTGGAGCACTTAACAAACACAGACTTTCATTTCATTCCCATTCCCCAAACTTGCTTACCAAACATCTATTTAGATCTGGTAAACATCCAATGTGGGAAACTTGGCAAACTTGAACTCATTGAGAGGCCTAGTCCATATATGCTATCAGTAACTTAAAATTTTGTGTTGTAAAAATGTTTTCAATATTTAGATAGCAGAGTTTGGTTGAAACGTTAAAAATTACCACCTCTGCCCCTAAGAGTGGGACAAGATGGAGTAATGAGGTAATTAAGAAAGTCGGAATTGTGTAGTTGATATTGATGAATCGGTAAAGTGTAAACAAATAGAGAATGAATTGCCAAATATTACCAAATATGGTATGGGACAAACATAGTGGGACTGACGAAAAAGGTAAAATGAGACAAAGATAGGGGGCAGATGGGTATATTTCACCTTCATAAAGCATATATGGAATGTGTAAAAGCGGCATTGTCTCAACACTGAATTACTTTTGCAGGAATTGCTGCCATCTTATTTCTCAGACAGTTCAGATTGCTGCTTCAGGTAATGTTTTTCTTTGCTTCCCTCCCTTCTTTCTTCACTTACAAATTTACAATGTGGATATCCTTTTGAGAGCATTTCTCATTCTCATCAACAACATACCTTTTATATTTTACCTATGCTTTGCAGAGATCAAGCATTGTAAACTTTTTGATGTTCCTTATCAGGTATAAATCTTTTTGCGTGTATGATTATTATTATGTAGTGCTCCCTCTATTATAAATTAATTGTCAACTATGTCTAAAACTCGCATCTTATCGTATCTAATACTATCGTATGCCCTTATTTATTACTTCCTAGTTTGTTGCACTGTATTTTCATATATTAGCACACTGTATATTGATGACTTCTCATGATCCCAATGAATAATCCTTATCTTCTTCCAAGATTGTGGAGTACTCATAGACTATGGACCTTAAAAGTTGGGTTCTTGAGTAGTCTACCTTTTAATTAGAAGGCCCAAATGCAACTTGCGGTATTGGTAGTACATTAATTAAACGTGATGGGCAGGATTGGAGTGGTGCGGTTATTAAAAACTGAAACTATGTCGTTGGTATTAAAATATAAAATGTAAATAAAGCAAGAACAACGTAATAAAGTAACCACCCAAATTTTACCAAATATGGTATGCGACAAACTTAGTGGGATGGATAAAAAAGGTAAAATGGGACAACGATGGGAGATGGAGGGAATAAATAGTATACCATATATTTGCTCAATGGACTGATAAAAAGGGAACACAAAAGCACAAAATATGGGCACTTTGCACGTAATAAGGAGCAGAGTGAGTATATGATGGTCTAGATTAAAGATGAACTATGAATGTGGTTGATCTAATTATCCTGTACTGAGGCTTTATTACACCATTGATGAAAGGGTTGCTGCACAATCTCTATGTACCTGCTGGGTGATCAAACTGTTTTGTCTTGTGCAGTGGTTCAATGGCAGCCTTCTTTGCTTACAGAATCATAAGAGGTGGTGAGCACACCAAGGGTTTGGCAGAAAGTCAGTGAGATGAATGTAAGTTGCTGGTCCAAAGTTGTAGAGAAGAGTGTGCGCTGTGTGCAAATGTTCTCAAGCAATGACCAAAATCTTAAACACCGGTTATTCCCATCACCCAAGATAGGAATCAGTGTGCTGCTGCTTTGCCTCCAGGTTCCAATGGATGCAAACATTGGTTTCAGGAAGTAAATCTGTCTGCTAGGAGACCACCCCCCCCACCCACCCAATGAAATTTTGAGTCAGTAGTGGCATGTGTAGCAGACATGTGCTCTCTCTTGATAATGTGATATTAGAATTGGTCAATGATTTCACCATGCAGGCAAGTTTAGCAAGAATGTTAGTATACTTGAATGTTTGTACTTGGTAATGAATTGGTTCTTGAACAATGCTTATGGATTTTTTCCGAAATTGAAGCTTTTATGTTGTTTTTCATTCACCACTATCCTTACATAGCTGATTTGCTTTATTCAAAATTTATGTTTTTTACTTTTTTATGCTTATTTTTCAGGGTTTGCTGGAAAGTTTTTAACACAACTCTAAATTCACAGTTTTTTTTCTTTAATGTTAGTTGTTCGTATTTAACACAACACTTGATCCGTAATTTAATTAGTTTACATGAAGAAGTTAGGAGAAGTGCCACATTGGACACTACGGGTAACCATAAGCACAACAACCATCAGCGCAATTTCCCTGTAGATTGTGTGATTGCAGATTAAGATTTCAGTCTTTTCAGATAATAAGTTGTATAATAATCTAATAAGTAAGGTTGATGTTACTTTTTTGATGGATTAGCTGGAATTATTGTAGAGGATCACTTTAGCTATTTTCATATAATTTTTACTTTATTTATTAATAAAATATATTTAAATACTCCCTCCGCTTTAAATAAACACTCACTTTCCTTTTCGGTTTGTCCCTAAAAATGTCCTCTTTTTTTTCTAAACTAAACATTACCAAATAGTGTCAAAAAAGTACTAAACAATGTCATTTTCTTAAAGACAATATTACCCGAAATAGGAGTAAAAAGGTTTGAAAATTCCAAAATAGGATTGTCATGTTTTTATTCCAAAAATAACATTAATTACTGTCATGTTTTGGCAGTATCACACTTCAAACATGACAGTATTTTCCAAACTTGGGAGTAATTACTCTTATTTTTGTAATAAAAAACATGACAGTCTTATTTTGGAATTTTCAAACTGTTTTAGTCCTATTTCGAAAATTTTCCCTTTTTTAATTGTGTGTAATTCAAAGTTGCATTTTTAAATAGGGACAGAGGGAGTATAATTTTTTTATAATTCAACAAAATCGATCAATCCAGTCATTTCGATCAGAATTAACCAATTCAGTCTGTATATAGGAGTAAAACATGGGAGAAATTCTAAAATAGGAGTATGTATGTTTTTTCCCCAAATAGGACCAGATTACTCCTATTCAAAATACACAGACTTTTCAATTCCATTCTTACCCCTGCTATTTTTCACCCACCATCAGTCCACTCTTCCGCTTACTACTTCTCTCTCCCTTCTGCGCACCATTAGCCGTGCTCACTATTTTAACCACTGCTATAAACTCTTCCGCTTATTTTAACCCACCATTCTCCTTCCATCAATTTCTTCTCCCCTCCAAATTAGATCCACCATCTTCTTTTCGTCTTCTCTGCAGATCAGGTTTCTTCTCCTCCTTCTCATCTTCATCCTTCCTTCTCCTCCTCCTCCTCCTCCTCCTCATCCTCCTCCCCCTCTCCCTCCTCCTCCTCCTCCTCCTCCTCCTCCTCCTTCCTAGCTCCTATTATTCTGTTTTTCTGATTTTTCTTCATTTCTCTGTTTTTGAGTTTTGGCATTCCATTTGTTGATTTCTGGACTTCTGTTTCGTATTTCCATTTTTGTAATTTCTCAAATTTTCCAGATTTTCTCAATTTTTGGATGATGGAATAATTTTTTGCCAAGTTTTTGGCAGAAATGTACACGGACAATGACAATCGTATTATGATAATGAAAATTTGGCCTAAACTGTTTTTTCTGATTTTTACAATGTCATTGATATGGCATTGTAAAAATGAGCATAACATGAGTACCAAATGAAAATACATAACTTAATTACAAAGTGCACATTGATATGAAAATTGTAAGGTTTGTTAGTTGAACATCATGACATTTTAATTGAGCATCCAACCTCCACTATTGAGATGAAAATCACGACTTCTGGAGAATGAGTAATAATGAACTTTTAATGAGCACCATACCTATTCTGTTGAGCTTACTGAATACACAAATTGATATTCAAGCATACTCGAGATTTTAAATGAGCTTTTAAAATTTTTCTATGCTCATTTCGTAAATTAGCTATACTCATTTGATATTGGTGTAATGCTCATTTTAAAATGAGCATTACACGAGACAACTTAAATGTCATATCCATGCATATTGGCGTAATGCTCATTTTGAACTTTTTGATACTCATTTCACACGTTATGTATTCACATTTAATATTTGATCATCAAACATCCGCTATTGAGATGAAATTCATGATTTCAGGTGAATGAGCAATAATAAACATTTAATGAGCACCATACCCATTCTGTTGAGTATTAGGAGTCTAATATTGAGAATCGTGATCTCCGCTTCATAACTTCTAATTCACTTTCTTTTTGTTATTTTTTCTTTTATAAAATCTTATTAAATTATATTTATAATCAACTCGTGTGAATTTCAATATGTGAATTAATGTAAAATAGTACTTTAAAAAATGCATTGATATGACATTTAGAAAATGAGCATAAGATCTCTACCAGATGAGCATACGTAACTTACAAAATGAGTATTAATGAATTTGTTAGCTGCTTTGTTATTTGAACATCACGACATTTTCATTGAACATCAAACATCCTCTATTGAGATTGATGAAAATCACGATTTCTGTAAAATGAGCATTAATGACTTTTTAATGAGGATTCGACCTATACAAATGAGCATATGTAACTTACAAGATGAGCACTGATATGAAAATTGTAAGTTTTGTTCGTTGAACATTTTACACACGCATTGATATGTCATTTTACATATAAGCATAAAATTAGTACCAAATGAGCATGTGTAGCTTACACAATGCGCATTGATAAAAAAATCGCGTTAATTGGACATCACGATATTTTCATTGAGCATCAAACCTCCTATATTGAGATGGAAATAATGATTTGTATTAAATGAGCATTAATGAATTTTTAATGAGCATCAGACCTATACAAATGAGCATATGTAACTTACAAGATGAGCATTGATATGGAAAGTGTAAGTTTTATTCGTTGAGCATCAAGACATTTCCAATGAGCACCAAACCTCCGTTATTGAGTATTAGAATCTGCGATTGAGTATCATGATTTGTGGTCTCATGTCTATAATCAACTCTTATATAAATCTAATAATGTAATATGAGACTTTTGAAATGTGCATTGTTAAAACATTTTAAAAATAAGCGCAACAGAGATACTAAATGAATATACATAATTTACAAAAATGAGTATTCGAAAATTCAAAAGCTCATTCATGTATGTTCATTTTTTAGGCGTTTTACTCATTTGAGTTTAAGGTAAAACTCATTTCTAATATGCTCGGTATAATATATATAAAAAGAAAAGAAGTAAACAACAAATAAAGAAAGTAAAAGAAGTAAAAAAAGAGAAAGTAAAATCAACCAGCAAAAATAAAGAAAATAAAAAACAAAAAGACAAAGTAAAACATAAAAGAAACGAAGCAGTTCAACCAAAAAAAACGAAGCAGCGAATGAATACAAAAAAAAAAGAGTAATTAAAAAAAAAGCAGCGGCCAATGACGAGCGTGAGTGGTGCACGGAAGGAAGAAGCTCAGTCTATTTAATTACAAAAAAACCGGGTGTACATACACCCGGATGTACCATATAATTTGCGTGAATTACGTGACCACTCCTATTTTGGCAAATTGTAAAACTTTTACTCATATTGGTAATTAACTCTTTCTAAATCGTATTAAAACTTTAGAGTGATTTTAAATTCGTGAAATTAGATTCGTTATTGGGGTTGGGTACTTTGGTGCGTACTTGGGTTTCACGTAATGTAATCGTGAAATTAAATACGTATGTGTCATTTGTATTATTTTGACTTCTAAGTTCTAATATGCCCACGATATATATTTTGGATTTCATAAATTGGAAGGAATTTCAGAACAGGTTAACGTAAAGGATTTCAATGACCATTTATTCATTTAAGAAAAGAATTTTTTAGTTTTAGACTACATATATTTTTATTTCTAATGGAAGGATTCAGACACGATTGGTTTAAGACAAATAAAATATGTCTCATAGTGTAACTAACAGTGACATATTGTTGTTATTTTTAGAGCAGAACTATGTAACAGATATTTGTTTCAAAAAACAATGTAACACAGTGATATTTTGAAAATTATAAAAGTTTTAAGAACTAACAAAATAATAATGTCATGCCATTCTAGAAGCAAACACACCAGTGAAATTCCTTTACCTAAATACTTAATACAATAACATCCAAACCTTAGTCCCTTAGGATCAAAAGATTGTGAAATGTAAAACAATATCTTTTTAAAATGTTTAAAGGATTAGGTCAACCGGAGATATTTAGAGAATATAAAATGATGAATCCTATTTCAAGATATATGATATGCTTCAGTATTGCTTTGGTAATTTATATTGAAAAACATAATTTTACTTGAGGAAATCGCTCATACTAGGACTGAAAATAGTCATTTTTAAAGGCTAAAGGGTCAAATAGGTACATGAACTAACTTAAAGTGTTCAATTAACCCCTTATAAAGGAGTTTCTGCCCGGACGTCGCCAATTGGGGTGGTTCCCGGTGGAATTTTTTGATGAAATTTTTTGAGCATCTTCTTCATTAAGTCTAGTTTACCCATACCAAATTTCAGCTAAAAATTCAACCGGGAAGGCAGTCGAATTATTTTCTGAAATGTTTGTGCTGTTTAATTTTTCAGAAAATCATTCGACTGCCTTCCCGGTTGAATTTTTAGCTGAAATTTGGTCTGGGTACACTAGACTTAATGAAGAAGATGCTCAAAACAATTCATCAAAAAATTCCACCGGGAACTGCCCCAATTGGCGACGTCCGGGCAGAAACTCCTATATAAGGGGCTAATTGAACACTTTAGGTTAGTTCATATACCTATTTGACCCTTTAGCCTTTTTTAAAATAGGACCATATAGTTCATACAGAAAAGTGGATTGACATTTCTTATATTTCAAATCTGCAACATGAATATAATACGGAGCTAGGGTTTTAGGCACAACGCCACTTGGTTGCATGACGATTTCTACAACACTTTCGATTGTTTAGTAGGAGATATCACCTTCTCACCTCTTTTTTGCCCCCGTTTCGATCTTTCACCAGCGGGCATGGTTCCATCCGTATGGTAGGGTTT